CCAGTCTAGCATGTAATAGAAAGGCCAAATGAAAAACAAGGACAGACATTGATCCACATGAAATAGATGCCACCTCCAGGTCTTTTACGGGTAGAACTCACCGTTGGTTACTAGCCAAAGGCCAACCCTGCCCACAGAACCTGCCATGACTTCTGAGGCATTGGGATGGCACTGACATTCCAGAAAAGAGCCTACTGGGTTCATATTCTCTGCTGGGCCATTTTAAACTGTAACTGTAGTACCTCAACTATGACCTATGTTAAATTTTAATAATTTCTCAAGAGAATGTCTAATGTGTATTTTATTTCTTTCTTTAAATCTTTTCATCCTGTCAGTCTTGTTGGATACTCAAATGACAGCCAGAAGATTGTAGTTAAAACCAGTTTTAACTATAGTTCTAAAATACTGTATGTGCAACTTTAGATGATCTCCATCTAATACCTGGCAACTTTAGTTGATTGTCATTTCTCTTGAGGGGGATTTGATACCTAGGATTTCAAACCATCCTTTTGATAAGTTGTAAATTGACAGTGTATATTCAACCCACTGTGGCTGCCAAATATTTCTTGACCAAAATAAAGCAAAACTGATAACAACTATTAACAAACATCATCTTTTAAATACCTCTTTGTTGATAAACCAGCATCCCAAACAGTAGAGGGAGCCCAAGGTAAATATAAGTTCCTTTGCTTCTCAAATTTAAACAATAGCCAAATTAAAGATGGAAATAGTTATACACGACATAATAGATGTAGGGGCTGGGTAGGGAGGGGTAGATGAAAAAGTCCTCAAAGCTGAAAGAGCTGGCAGTAATATATACATATCTAAGCTGAACATGAAAAAGCAATATCTGCTATACCAAAATGGGCAAAGCTTTTAGAGCTCACATGTAAAAATGTGGTGGAAATAGAAGCTTCATGATGAAATTATGCTGAAAAGTTATACTGAAGAAAAAGCAAAAATAACTTCAAATGGAGGGAAACCATTCAGCCTTTTAAGTGAGAAAAGCCATAGCTCTGGGAGTAGATCAGATACTAATAATTCTATTGAAAAATTATCATTCAGGTAATGACATAGCAACCTGAATGACATAGCAACTCTCAATTTTTTTAAATAAAAAAACTCAATATATTTAGTATATTTATGGTTTTATAGGTGCACGGCATATGTTTGTGAATATTATTGCTTATGTCTGACATTTAACTGAGGAATTGCTAAAATGCCTGAAGAAAATCAAAATACCAGAAAACACCAAATTTAACTTGGAAAGCAAAATGAAGGAAAAATGTCAGATTGCATAAATAAGGTCTAGGAGGTTTTGATTAAAATTAACTTCTAGATAATCCAGTTATCAACTGTTAGTAGTAAATGTTAGTGAGCTTGTTGATAAAATTGTGTGTATATGTAACTACTAGATAATTAATTAATCTTGAACCAAAATTTTTGAAATTTCCGTGATTCCTAAACTAGTAGCAATCAGACACTTTCTTTTTCTTGAATCCAACAAAAAATGAGTATTAACCTTAAAAGAGTATTGTGCTATTCAATTCAGCTGAACAAACTCCTCTTAGCATTCACTATGAACTAGAAACTATGCCAGGTCCTGAGGGCTCATCGGTGAGTAACACACCCTTGCCCTCCAGGCACGCAAAGTAAAGAAAGGATCTTTTCTAGTTTCATAAATTCTCTAAGGAAAAAAACACACCTAGAGAATGGTGCAGCAATAATTTCTCTCTGCAAGTTTCAGTATTTCCAAATCACCAATATAAAAAGATAAAAGCCAGACAGATAGGTCCTTTTGTCAATATATGGGATACATAGTGCTAATCATATACTTTTATAAATATTCAGAAAATAATAAAGTAGAATTAGAGCGTATAAGCATGTTTTATGGGTTGCTTTGTTAAGAATTAACTTTCACATATTTTATAAACCATATTGTATGAAGAGAAAATTTCCAAGTGGAACTTCAGGCCTCAGCATGCCCTGCTGGACTTGGCAATGTGAGGTCTAAACAACTCCTGAAAACGATAGCATACTGATGCCGGGGCAAGTTAGAATAATTTATTTTCATCAATTCATGTGTAGCTGAAGTACCTATCATATACTAAATTATATATTTTCCATGCAGTCTAAGAACAATGTAGAGCCTAATAAAGTATCATTTTTAGTTACTATACTAGCAACAGTAAAATTGTCCTTTTTTTCTTTACTTTAACAATTTCAATACCATGTTTGTAGTCTTGATTTTTCTCTTGAACTTCAGTCATACATCCCATCGCCTACTTGCTATCACTACCTGGATGACATCTCAAATATAATGCGATCAAAACCAAGCTTCAGAGTTTTCCCAGCCAAACCTGCTCTGTCTGCAGCCTTCCCTTCCCATCTGAGTTAAAGCAACTCCATCCTTCCAGGTGAAAATTCTTGAGGACATTCTTGACTTCTATCTTTCTCTTACACATCACTTCCAATCTGTCAGCAAATCTTCCCACAAAATACATGTCCAGAATCTGGCCACTCCTCATCACCTCTCTGGCTCCCCACTGGCCCAAGCCACCGTTATTTCTTACCTCAGTCACTGCAGTAAACTTTTGTTGGGTCTCATGCTTCCATATTTCCTTCTCACAATTTAATGCCAATACAGTAACCACAGGAAAGCCTTTAATACTTATGTCAGACAACACCTCTTCTCTGTTCAAAACCCTGCAGTGCCCTCCTTTCATCCAGAATCAAAGCCAAAGTCCTTAAGAGGTCTACCAAGCCCTATGTGATCTGGGTTCCAGTATCTCCTTGACGTCATCACCTACTCCAGACACACTGGTCTCCTTGCTGTTCCTCAAACCCACTAGGCAGGCTGTAAATTTTTTTCAGAAAGCTCGCCCTCCTCAATACTTGCCTGGATTACTCTTTTGCCTCCTCTAAGTCTAGCATCCTCAATGAAGCTTACCTGATCACCCTATTTAAAATGGCAAACCAGCCACTGCCACCAACTCCAGATGTCCTTACCCTGCTCTGCTTCTGTTTTTTGGTAGCACTTGTCATCTTCAAACATGTTATATTATTTCCTCTTTTAAAAAAATTGTTTTATTATCTGTCTCTGCCAGACTAGACTGTAAACTCCACGAGGGCAGAGACCTTTGTCTGTTTGATACCTCACACAGAGTAAGGATTCCATGAATATTTGTTGAACGAGTGAAATCATCCATGTACTATTTGAGATTATCTAAGTAAATTCAGTTATTAGGCTTCACTATAAACTTTTCTAATATTTTTAAGTATCACATGAATAGAAAATCAAAACCTATCTGTTATTTCCATTATTTAAACCTGCTGATGCAATTATTTAAATTAGACTTATATATTCATTTTTTTATAATATCTAGTATAACTAGTAATTATTCTTGCATGGATTGGAAGTCAATTCATGCACATATGCACTGATAGGTTATTTGTTGTGGGGCAAGTGTTCTTTCCCTGAAGAAAACATGCTATAAATATTTATCAGATAAGTGTCAACTAGGAAGTATCTATAGTGGCACTGAAATTTTACTATTCATTTATGGAATATCCATAAGTCAATGTATAAATAAAGAAAGAAATCAGATGTCAATAGTTAAAGAATATAATGTTTGGCTTGGCCTACCTCCCCAAAATGGCTTTCTTTTAAATGTCTACATATTAAAGGTATTCACTGTTTTCTAACTGATAAATTACAACTGACTCAGAGAAAAATGGTGTAAATGAAAAATATATCACATTAGCAAGAATAGATGAATTAAAGGATACGCAATTTTCCTTCTCAAAACTGTTACCACTTAATGTAAGCACAAGCAACAGAATGTAAGGAAACACTGACACTTAGCATCCTGGAAAGATCTATAGAATTTATCAAATCTTAAAGGTTATCTTTGCTTGAAAAGCAAGCCTAAACCAAAACAGAGATATTACAGAACTTGTGAACATATGTGATGTTAAGTGGGGTGTCAGTTCCTTCTTGCAAATTTATTATAATGGATTATTATAAGGTTAAGGATAGAATGCTATCTAGAGACTCCCTACTCCAAATCTAGCATTTAGTGAGGAAATTAAAGCTTTACTTTACAAATAAGAAAACTGAGTCTCTGAGAGAGTAAATGATTTTCCCAAGTTCAAATGACTAGTTGGATAATTATTGCTTATTACAGTTATCAGGAGAAAATGATATTGAATGCTATCCCTAAAGAAGACGATGTTTTTCTGAACAACCCTAAGAACTACAGAAGAAATTGGAGGCTGTCCCCTATCGATGCAAGCTATAGCAAGGAAAATGCAAGTTCATGGGTCCTAATGAGTTGAAATGTTTTATTATATGGAGATGCTTGTTACATAACAGGTCCAATGGCGAACAGTAGGACTATTCAATCTTGAACTGCAAATTTTAAAATATGAAATAGTAAAATTTGGGACCTAAGGATTATGTGCGGTTTGCAAGTACTTATTAAGAAATGCTCTCCATTTCAGAAGTTGAGGAGCACTAGGTTATCTTTTCCAGATCACATCCTGAAACCATTAGTTAAAAAACCCAAACAATTTTTATAGTAGGTGCCATACTGGTTTTTTATAACAGTGTAAGCTATGGAGTTGAGGAAGTGTTTGGATGTTTACATACAAGTTCATACTGACCTGTTTAGATTTGGTAGGAAGAGTTAAGACATAGAGTTTAGAAACTAAAGCTTACTTGGTGGAAGAGGCTCATCGATTGTTGGGTAGTGATGATGTTCAGGCCTCAAGGAAGGAAGCTGGTTTACTGGCTGGGAATTATGGAGTATAGGACATTCACCTATGGACAAGATAGTCAAAACATTCAGGTTCACTCATTGCTATGGCAACGTGTTAAAAAAACCAGGACCGTAAAACAAATTGCTATAGAAAAAATTCCAAAGAATGGGCAATCTATTTTTGTGTCCATTTACTACAATCACAGTCATTCATGAAAGAAGGAACAGAGTTAATTACTTTTTAAACTCCAAAGAACATAGCCAAACACTTCATGACAATGATCTATACCACATAGACCAATATGTCGGATCAAGGTCTGATTCTGTAACCACCTGAATTATCTTGATAGAAAGGTGGCATCAGAAAGAAAACTAGCAGAGCCTGACTTGAGCCCAGCCAAAGAAATGGGCCTGTTTGAGGGCAGGGCAGCATTTCTGAGGTCCCATGACAGTTCAGTGGGCCAGTGCAAAATCATTGCTCTTGTTTAAATAGGTTTCATCAGAGGGCTGCCAAGAGGCTGTTTTTCAGATTTTGTTTTTGGGATGAAACTTAGATGGTGTCTTTCCAAGATGGGGTTAAGGAACTGGTGGGTCAAGAAGGTAAATTCCTTTAGTATAGAAATTAAAGAAAAGCCAGAGTGTTCTGGAAAGAGAAAAGGACAAAAGACAAAAGAAGTAGATAAAAGGTAGGAAGACTGAGACAAGAAAACTTGAAACACAGAAGTAAGATAGGAGGAAGAAGAGAGACGAACATGGACACATTTTAGAGATAAACATATCCACAGAATGCATGCCCCAATTATTACAGGCATATCTAATAATATTGTCAGTCAGGCTTATAATGAACTGAACAATGATCTAAAATGGTGCTACTATTTCATGATGTTCTCAGGTTCCGGTAACACTGTGTGTAGAGTGGCCATGTGGGTGGGAGGCCTACAGCACCAGCAATTGCAAAAGTAATTGCTCTTGGTCTTTGGAGAGCTACAGGCCCATGGGCCAAGAGACAGCTTCCATTCAGACTGGTGTCTCCTCCCCTTCCTACCTCACATGATCCTGGCTTTATTGCAATAGCCCATATTGGCCAGAGGACAAAGGTCAGACCTTTTCCTTCTTCTGTCCTTCTTGGCTGATGCAAACATTAAGTGTTCCATTATCCCTTAGGTCAAAAAAGAGAGAAACTGTAAAAAACAGCAGTTAAGATCTTTGTGGGATTTCAAGTTTCAAATATTTTCCAGAATGCCCATACATGGACAGGATGATTATTTCTTCTAACTCTAGATCCATAGAACTGATAAAAAGTAAAATAAATCAATTAGGAAGGAAGTTAGATGGTTTTAATTTAGCAGTGTCATTCCTAGAGCTAACAGAAAAACAAAAACAGAGAGGTATTTCAGAACAAAGGGCCCTTCTAAGTTTAAACATATGACACAATTTCTCGTGTGAACTCTGTTACTCAAATGCTTGGGGTCTCTGAGACTTTAAGGAAAGCCAAGGAAGGTGTGTGCCCCTGGTGTCAGCGCACAGCTCCTTGTGAACTGATTCCTGTTTCAAAGACGTGCTCTGTTTTTTAGTGGATCTCACACTCATGTCTGTTTTTATATATGCTTCATGTCAGAAACCAAAAACAATGGTACAGTTGTTATGTCATCAGCTTCTGTGCTTTTAATTTAGTTTCTTGGAAAAAAAAAAAAAAGAACAAACTTACCTCCTGTAATTAATTCAACCAATCAGATTAATCACTCCTCCAAGCTAGTGGAATATTGCTGCTTGCAGGGGTTAATGGAGCTGACCCTACCTGCTTGTGAACCCCAAGCAAATGCAGTCACATGACTGACACAGCTCAGCCAACTGAAAGGATGGAGCACACAGAAGAGGCGAAGGATTTTGTTCGGCAAGAGGCTGAGGCGCCACACCATCACCCTTGTCTCGAACACAAAGCAAGTGTTCAGAACGTCTAGATCTTCCAGGAGGGAAATATATTCCACTTGAAAAGTTAGTCTCACTGCTTATCTGCCTCGAAGAAGCCTCACTCAAGGGGAGGCTGAGGGCTTTACACATACCCTCATTTCGTCCTTCCAATAACCCTTTGAGGTAGATTCTACATTCACACCCGTTTTACAAATAAGCATGGAGCAGTTACGTAACTTGGCTACGGTATCGTGGCTAGGAAGTGGTGGGACTGGATATAATCAACCCAATCTCCAGGGCCTGAGGTCATGATCACATTACAGTGCTCTTATAATCTGATCTTAAGAAAGTTTTTAAAAACTGTTGTATGTTGAGGTTTAAAAAGGAGGATTTTATAAAAGGGAAAAGAAACAAAAAGTAGATAAAGATAAAGAATACATCCTCCATAAGCTGCTGTAGACTCATCTACCTGGGCATGTGCGCCGTCAGTTTACCGTGGCCTAGGCAGTGAAAGAATTTGCAACCTGAGAAGTCACGGCAAGGGGCAATAGTGATTCTAATGGGGGAACAGGGCCCACATGCACATATTAGGTGGGTTGCCTCGAAGCCTTGCTTTCTTGGAGCAAATGCCAGTGAGGGACAGATAGACAACACGGACACCCTTAGCTCAGGACTCACTACTGATGGAGGGAAGACTGGCTGCAAAGAAGTCACATGCTAACACATGTGCAGCTTTCATGAGATCAACAGTTCCTCTCAGAAATCTTCGTATTGCCTCTGGATAAGGAAATGCAAATATCCCTCCACTATGGTGATCACCATAGGAAAGTGTTCAGGTTCTTCTTAACCTTTTCTGAGTTTACAGCCTGCAGAATTCAGGAATTTAGACATTTCTTTAGAAGTTGCACTGCAAAGATTTCTGCTATGGCCCTGAAGCACCTTTCTGGGCAGCTTTCCCCTGATGGATAAGGGCATGGACAGTGTATACTGAGCTAATTTTCAATGAACTGTGTGTGGATTGTCTTCCAACAAGGTGGTCAAAATATACCCCATAGGCTACAATGGTTGACAAATAACAAATCCAACTTCATTTTTGTATGTTTCTGAGGTAAGAATTATTACATTTTAAAATGTAAAAGTGTTAGAAAAATAGCCTTTGGGTGTGAATAGTTGCTAGATTTTGCCTCTTGCGTCACAAAGCCTAAAGTATTTGCTATCTGGCCCTTTATGGAAAAAGTTTGCTGACACCCCATAGGCTACAATGGTTGACAAATAACAAATCCAACTTCATTTTTGTATGTTTCTGAGGTAAGAATTATTACATTTTAAAATGTAAAAGTGTTAGAAAAATAGCCTTTGGGTGTGAATAGTTGCTAGATTTTGCCTCTTGCGTCACAAAGCCTAAAGTATTTGCTATCTGGCCCTTTATGGAAAAAGTTTGCCGATCTCTAGTCTAAAATATTCCTGCCAGCTCCTAGTTATACTCTTTTATGTGTGTGTCCCCAAATCTCTTTATATTGTAATTATTTTTAATTGTGTTTAATTATTGAGTATTTCCATATGCTGTCTGACGCTGGTCTGTTTTCCTGCACCCAGCATAGAGCATTGGGCCCAGAACAAAGAAGATATTCACAACATCCTTGCTGAAGAAGGAAACGGACCACCGCATTTTCACTGCCATGGGTTCCTTCCACATCGTCTCCCCTGTGGGGTACTGTATGTCACTACAGTTTTCCTCCCTGGGTTTCTCTTTCTTTTCCATTTTTTTTTGCACGTCTTCTGATCACATGTGCCACTTTTCCTCACTCCTTCTTTCTCTGAAATGTAGAATTGGGCATTGTTGACTTAAAATTATTTTTGTGTGCTCACTTTAGTTCCTATAAAAATGTGTAGGTGCCAGGCATTTCTTTAGGTGCTGAGAATGCAAACACAGAGAAGATACAATTCTGGTCCTTCATGAGTTTGCAATTTAGAGACCACACCACCACATTTTATTTGGAGCCTAACTGAAACAGCAGAACAGCAAAGTAGCAGAATCTATATGTCTCTCTTTTAAAACAACCAAGTTATTTCATCTTGTTATATGACCTTTGAATTATTTCCCCCTATGTCACTGTCACTTGCCTGGAAGATGGTTCCCAACTCTGGATAAGGAAATGCAAATTAATTTCATGTATGATTCGAAAGCAAGACTAAGAAGGAGCTTTTGTGGTTAAAATACAGAACACATTTTAAAACTAGAGGTGGCATCTTTTGAATTAGAATCTTATTTGAAACAAAGCAATTTGCACATTCATATTATCCTTCCCTTCCAATCAGCCTAAATAAATAAATAAATAAATAAAAGAAAAAACAAAACATAGAAACACTAAAAAAGAGAAAAGCAACAACAATAAACAGAATTGAGCATCAGAAATAATGACCAGTTATGAAAGATAGGTAGACTATTCCTAACTATATGTACACAGACTAGTTAAATTCTAAAATAGAGGTAAAATCAATGTCCCTCCACTTATATTATGTTCATTGCTAAGCTTTAATAAATTTTGGGAAGTCAGCAGATATTTCCACATTATCCACCATTTCTGCTCATGTCGTTGGATACTAGCCTTGATGCTCTGGCTGCTGTCAGGGCAGGAAGGGTAACATATACACTAGCCACAGTGATAAGTTAAACAGAGAGTCACATGCACACGTGCGCACTCACATGGGTGCTCTGGTAACTCTTGGTGTATATCTGAGAGGTGGTGGGGTGTAAGCTATTGGTAGTCACAGATACACACATAGGACAGGCACACACATTGGCAGCAACCCCATGTGGGACTGATCCTCTCACTCTTCTTTTTAAACCAGGTTGGTTAGCCCCGTGTCCCCCTCGTGGTCCTATTCTCACTCTGATCAGGTTTGAGGTCTAACCTTCTCTCCGATTGCTTGGCCCCGCCATGGGGGATTCCACACCATCCGCGGTTCTTGCCACACTCTCGTTCATGCTCCCGGTGGGGGCGGCTGGCTGGTCGTGCCACGGCCCGGCCGCGTTCACAGACTCCAGGTCCAGCTCTGGGCTCTGCACCGAGTCCGGCACCGACTCGAAGGCGCTGTTCTCCTCCTCCTCCTCCTCTTGCGAGGAGAAGACGGTGCTCTCGGAGATCTTGGCGCTGTCCATGGAGGAGAAGCGGGTGTGGCTGGTGAACCTGTTGCCGTTGTAGCAGGAGCTGCTGTAGCAGGAGCTGCTGTAGCAGGACGTGCTGTAGCAGGAGGAGCTGTAGCAGGAGGGGCTGCAACAGGACGCGTCGCAGCCCTCGAAGCTGTGGTCCCCGCCTTGCCTGGGGCTGTAGTCGCTCTCACTGCCCGTGCTGGGGTGCGTGTCGCCATCCGGGGCCGAGCTGTTGGCCACGCCGGAGAGGCCGGGGGCCATCGTGCCGAGAGTAGCCCCCTCAGGATCCTCCAAGCCCTCCTCCAGGGCAGGCGGCTCAGCAGCTACCGTGTCCCCGTCGCTGAGCCCGTCCTTCTCCACCGTGTCCTTGAGCGTGGGCTCTTCCTCCGCGCCGTCGTCCTCCCCGGGGCTGCCGGCCTGGGCCAGGGGCAGGCTGTGCAGCAGCGTGTGGATGCGGATGTAGTGAGTGCGCGGCGTCTCTGGGTCGCTGCAGGCCGACGCGATCACGGTCTCCAGCTCGGACACAGGCAGGGAGCAGGGCCTGTTCTTCCTCTTCACCGAGGCGCGCAGCTGCAGCCTGTCCTCCGGGGCTCCCAGGGCAGGCACGTGCCCATCGCCCTCTTCCGCCTCCTCCGCCGCCTGTCCCTTTTCCTCCTGCCCCCCAGCCCTGCTCTCTTGGGCCGCTTCCTCTGCCACAGGATCCCCAGGGCGGTCTTGGGCTTCACTGTCCTCCAGCAGCTCCGGTGGGGGTGCCTCCCCTCCCAGGGCCAGCCCCTCGGCCACCTCTTCTGCACTCAGGGTGGGCTCCGTGTCCTCTCGCCCCAGGCCCAGAAGCTCCCCAGCCCCATCAGGTCCCACAGAGACTGTGTCGAGGTCGTCTCCTGCCTCAGTGGTACCTGCCGCTTCCTCCACGGGCTTGGCAAGCCCCAGGCTCGCGCTCCCTTCGGCGACCAGGGCGCTGCCCTCCCTCGGCTTCTCTGACTCGGAGCTTCCCGAGGGCTCTGGTGCCTCCTGCGGAGGGTCCCCAGGGTTGCTCGCCACCAGGCTGTTCATAGGGCTGCCCGGCATGCCCGCTGGCTCAGCTTCCGTACTCAGGGACATCTCTTCATCATCTGCGGGCAAGAGGAAAATGTCACTCCTTCCACAAGAGAGCAGTTGGTGTTAGTGTACTCTGCCAGACACGGACATGTACGCCTTCCCAGGGGATTTTTATTTTAGGACTAGAGGCCCCGTGCACGAATTCGTGCACTGGTGGGGGGGGGGCATGGCCTGCAGGGAGCAGCCGGCTGTGGGAGCTCCGCTCATCCTGGTCAGCTGAGCAGTGCTCCTACTGTGGGAGCACACTGACCACCAGGGGGCAGCTCCTGCATTGAGAAGTGGTCATTCAGGAAAAACGAATCCTAAAATTTACATGGAACCACAAAAGACTCCCAGATAGCCAAAGTAATCTTGAAAAAGAACAAAGTAGGAGGTAACACACTCTCTGATTTCAAATTATACTATAAAACTATAAAAATAAGAACAGTATGGGAATGGCACAAAAACAGACACATAGAACAATGGAATAGAATAGAGAGCCCAGAGATAAACCCTCACTTATATATAGTGTTAATCTATGACAGGGGAGGCAAGAATATACAATGCAGTAAAGACTGTTTCAACAATAAGTGGTTCTGGGAAAACTGGACAGGTACATGCACAGAAATTAAACTGGATCACTTTCTTATACCATATTACAAATAAACTCAAAATGGATTAAAATATAAAACCTGAAAATATAAAACTCCTACAAGAAAATATAGGCACTAAAGTCTTTGGCATTGCTCTTAGCAATACGTTCTGGGATATTTCTCCTTGGGCCAGGACAACAAAAGCAAAAATAAACACATCAAACTAAAATGTTTTTGCACAACAAAGGAAACCATCAACAAAAGGAAAAGACAACCTTCTAAATAGGAGAAGATATTTGCAAATGCTATATCTGATAAGGGATTAACATAAAAAGCATATAAGGAATTCATACATCTTACTATAAAAAACAATGAAATTAAAAAATGGGCAGAGGACCCAAATAGACATTTCTCCAAAGAGCAAATACAAATGGCCCATAGACACATGAAAAGATGCTCATCAGTAATCATCCAAGTAATGGAAAATAAAACCTCAATAAGATATCACTTCACACTTCTCAAAATGACTATCATCAAAAATTAAGACATAAGTTCCAACAAGGATGTGAAGAAAAAAAGGAAGCCTCATTCATTGTTGGTGTTGGTGAGATTACAAATTGGTACAGTCACTATGGAAAATGGTATAGATATTTCTCAAATAATTAAAAATAGAACTACCATATAATCCAGCAATATAACTTTTGGGTATTTATCTGAGGAAAACAAAAACATTAATTTAAAAAGAACCTATGTTCATTGCAGCATCCTATATAATAAAAGCATAATATGCAAATCAACTGAACTGCAGAACAACTGGTCGCTATGACGTGCACTGACCACCAGGGGGCAGACGCGTGCAGGAGC